TATTTGCTTTATAAACTTTAGAGCATAAATACAAAATGAATGTTTTGTTAATTTTTTGTAAAGTAATTTTTTTTTTTATAAAGTTTTTTTAAATGTTTTTTTTCTAATATTAGAAATTATCTCTTTCCAGATGTTTCCGGATATATTCAAAACTTCGAATATTTCTCTCTATTTTTAGTTTTTCTGGAAATCCAAAATGCTTTCCAAAAATGCATGTTGAAAAGTTTATTTGTTTAAAATCCTAAAAATAATAGAAAAATCACCTTCAAATGAATTATATATATATATAATATATATATATATATATATATATATATATATATATATATATATATATATATATATATATATATAATATATATATATATATATATATATATATATATATATATATATATATATATATATATATATATATATAAATATATATATATATATATATATATATATATATATATATATATATATATATATATATATATATATATATATATATATATATATATATATATATATATATATATATATATATATATATATATATATATATATATATATAATATATATATATATATATATATATATATATATATATATATATATATATATATATATATATATATATATATATATATATATATATATATATATATATATATATATATATATATATATATATATATATATATATATATATATATATATATATATATATATATATATATATATATATATATATATATATATATATATATATATATATATATATATATATATATATATATATATATATATATATATATATATATATATATATATATATATATATATATATATATATATATATATATATATATATATATATATATATATATATATATATATATATATATATATATATATATATATATATATATATATATATATATATATATATATATATATATATATATATATATATATATATATATATATATATATATATATATATATATATATATATATATATATATATATATATATATATATATATATATATATATATATATATATATATATATATATATATATATATATATATATATATATATATATATATATATATATATATATATATATATATATATATATATATATATATATATATATATATATATATATATATATATATATATATATATATATATATATATATATATATATATAATGCGTTTATGTCGATGAACCATCACCGGTGTCTAGTAGCAACGGTGATGACTTATCTTCATTTTGTAAGAAAAAAACCGTAACCGAAACAAACGAATTAATCTCTACAAAAAATATGCACGCATTAAGTTATTAAAGATTTGTAAAAAGAAAAGTCTTTTACAGATGTATAACTAGATTATTTGGAGACATATTCTTTCTTAAAAAAAAGGGTTTCTTTACATGCGGTTCGGGAACCCCTGAGGGTTCACAGCATGAGCACTGGTAATCCATGTAATAAGCACCAATTCAGAAAAAATTATAGTATGGAAATTTGATTATTTGAATGGGAAAATTTATATATTATCAATTGATAATTGATAAGCAGCCTGAAATTAAACAAAAACAATTTTTCACAAATTAAAGTGTTTTTGGTAAAAAAATTAGTTTTTTTCTGTTACAATATGTTTAAAATGTCAAAAAAATAAATAAAAAATTTAAGGTTTCAGGCCGGAATGCCGAAATTATTTTTTTTACCTTTTCATTTGAGAAATGTGACACAGACTGTAAGTTAAATCAAAAAAACAAAATTCTTAAAGACAATTTTATGTACAATTATGTAAATAATAAGTAAAAGTTTCAAGAAGTTTAGAAATATGGAGCAAAAAGAGTTGCTATCCAGTTTTTGGGCAACAAACTTTTTTTTATCAAAAATATTACCTTTTGTCGGAGATTAGTCTTATTTTAAATGGTACTTAAATTTTAAATAAATAAAAAGTATAGGATGCCTAATACAGTAAATATTTCAATTTTAACCTAAATGGAAAAATAGAAAACAAAGAAATTATTTTAAATATAATTATTATGTAGGTTAAAACTTTTAATAAATAAAATTGTAAGAAACAAATAAAAACAACATATTAGGTTTAAATGAAACAATCAAGTTAATCAAATAGGTTATATATATATATATATATATATATATATATATATATATATATATATATATATATATATATATACAATTGTACAAATTGTAAGGGTTTTTATTGATGAAAATTAAAAAGACCTCTAATACATATACTAAAGCTTTCGTTAAATTCTGGGATATTTCCGGATGTACTTAAATTAGCAAAAGTAACTCCAATGTACAAATGTAATGATCATTCTGATATTACAAACTACAGGCCTATATCAGTACTTTCTGTATTTTTAAAACTATTTGAACGTGTAGTTTATAATAGAATCTATGATTACTTCATTAAAAACAATTTTTTTTACCCAAATCAGTTTAGTTTTCAAAAAAATCTCTCTACTGAGCATGCAATCATTGAAATAGTAAATTAAATAACTAATGGTTTTGAAAATAGTAAATTTACTTTAGGAGTATTTCTTGATTTATCAAAAGCATTTGATACAGTGGACCACTGTATTCTCTTAGATAAATTAAGACATTACGGAATAGTTAATAAAACTTATTATTGGATTAAAAGCTATCTTACAAACAGAAAACAATATGTAAATAATGCCCAATTTGGAGTGTTAAATGTCGTATGTGGAGTTCCGCAAAGATCGATTCTTGGTCCACTTCTTTTTTTAATATATATAAATGACTTCTGTAATGCATCCTTAAAACTTAATTCTGTCATGTTTGCAGATGACACGAATTTATTTCTTACCAACAACGATATCAAAAATACCGAGAAAACAAACTATAAACTTTTCATAAAAAAACACAAGAAGAAAATCTTCCTCTCAAGTTGCCGAACCTATTTATAAATGATAAATTAATTAAAAAGCAATCCAATATAAGATTCTTGGGAATCGTTGTCGATGAAAAATTATCCTGGCTTCCTCATATAATATATATCCAGTCAAAAATTACCAAAATCATAGGTTTAATGTATCGAGTTCGCTCGTACATTAATACAAATAGTCTAAAATTAATCTACTTTGGGCTAATTCACAGCCTCATCAGCTATGCAAACATTTCATGGGCAAGTACTCAAACAGCAAAGCTTAAGAAATTTTATAGTTTTCAGAAACATGCCTGTAGAATCATTTACTTTAAAAATAGGCGGAAACACGCTAACCCCTTGATGAAAGATATGAAAATGATGAATGTATTTGATATAAATATCTACCAGCATTTAATTTTCATGTATCGTTACAATCACAATATCTCTCCTATAAGCTTTAATAATAAGTTTGAGTTAAATAAAAATGATAACTATAATCTTAGAGCGAATATGTTGAACACATATAAACTGCCAAGGATAATAAATAAATATTCAAAATACAGCATTTTATATAGAGGTCCAAAGGTATGGAATATTTTTCAGAAAGAGTTCAAAGGTACGGTGAGTTCGTTAAGTTCATTCAAGTTTTTAACAAAAAAAAATATCTTTAAAACCGGTGAAACATTTTTTGTTAATAATGCTTTGGATAAATTCTCTTAAATACGTTTTTGTTTTGTTTCTACTTTTGTTTGTTGCTTGACAATTTTTATTAGCGGATTACGCATTTTGTTATGATATTTTATTGACATTTTTATTTTGTATGTCATATTACGATATTTTAATTAAATCTTGTTAAAGGGATTCTATGAAAAGATTGCAATGACGTTCTGTCATCCTCATCTTCTTTGAGCCCCTATCTGTTTTACTTATTTTGTTAAATTTTATATAATGTAGTAGAATCTGTAAAATTCTTATGTTATGAGAGAAAATAAAAGAAAAAAAAAAAAAGAAAAAAAATTTGACATAAAAAATTTGACACATTGAAAACTTGTCCTATAAAAATTTCTGAATGTATAAGAATACTATTTAAAACAAGAAGCATGCTAAATAAACATACTTTAAATCAGCTATACCATTCTTTTATTCATTGCCATTTAAATTATTATAATGCGACTTGGGGTATTGTAAACATAAGTAAATTAAAACCACTTTACCGCCAACAGAAATGTTGCACGACTTATTAATTTTAAACAACGTTTTTATTATGCTAAACCTCTTTTAATGTATACGTGTATATGTATATATGTTTGTGTAAGTATATATGTTTGTATGTTTATATGTGTGCAAATAATTACATATATATATTTATAGGTGAATGTTTATAAATGTATTATTAAACGATTATTTATTTAAAATCTGTTTAGGCGGTGATCTTATGATCTTTTATAATTATCCGCGTACTTATTGCAAAGATAACAAATTTGTAATTCTTATTATATGTATTTTATTCATTCTTTTATTATAAAACTTATTTTAAATAGATTAAATTAAGAAAAAAAAAGTTGATGTTTGAATTTGCGAAAGATAACACTTTACCCAAACTTTCACTTTAACACAAATAATCATGCAGCTTAGTATTATGCTTCTATGGGTTTTAGTTATAAATTTTTTTTACGGGTATTATCATTACCCCAATGTTGATATTTTTAAATATTTAAGTTCATGCCTAGCTTTATCAAAAATTTATAATGTCTTTTTTTGTACAATTTATAATGAACAATTTATAATGTACAATTTTTTGTACAATTTATAATGTACAATTTAAACGTATCAAATTAAATTTCTCTAAGCTAAACATATGAAAAATTGATTATGGTAAGTTATTTTGAGGTTTATAAAAAAAAAAGTTCATGTAAACCAATTTATACAATCCCAAAAACAAGTTTTAAACTTAGCTATTGTTTACCCAATAAATATTTAAATTCTTAATCCAAAATATATGTACATTGAATTCTTGTTAATATAAGATATGGCCCGGTAAAAATAGACATTTCAGTTTACTATAATTTGCATAGAGCTGAAACTTGATACATATTTATTATTTGCCCAATAAAAAACTCATAAAATATCACAAAAACTCTTCTAAAGCCTTGTTCATTACATAGTAAAAGTTAAAGCGGTGTCTTTGCTAAATGATATCATCTATTCTAGAATCGTTGAAATGTCTTTTAACTTTTTACAGCAGGTCATTAATGAACTGAACTCTTTCCATTTCCATTCAGCATGCAACTGGAAGAGAGCACAGATGTATCACAATGTAGCCAGCTATTGGTGTTTGTTCGTTATGTACATAAAAAAACACAAAGTGTGAAAGAATAGTTTTTGTTTTACGACTTTTAAGAACTACAAAAGCAACAGTTATTTTTTGTATGATAAAAAGTTTCATGTTGCAAAACATGGCCTTGATTGTAAGAATAGGCTTAGCAGATTGTGTACAGATGTAGAACCTGTGATGTTTGGAGATACTTCTAGTTTTGTAGCAATGGTAAAGAAATAAGTTTCTAATGTTATGATAACTAATTGCTTACTACACCAACATGCATTAGCATCACAAACTTTGCCTACTTTCTTGAAAGAAGTTATAACCACGCGTATCAAAATAGTTAACTTCATAAGAACTAGAACTTCGAAACACCAAATGTTTAAGAAACTTGACATGAAATGACATCAGACTACGAAAAAAATTTCTTGAAAGAAATTATGACCAAAATAATTGTATCAAAATAATTAACTTCGTAAGAGCCATAGCTTTCAAACACCTGGTGTTTAAGAAACTTTGTAATGGGATCTATGAAGTAAATTTTTTTTTTGTTAATTCACCCTCTCAAGGCCGATACGAGGAGTATTCTTAATTGTGGTTATAATCCTCTCTTAACTCTATAACTCCGAAACACGAACCTTGACGAACAAAGCTGCTGCGCGGAGAAACAAGTTGAATTAACGATGAAGATTATCTTAAAGATGATCTTCATTGTCAATTCAAAATCCAAAACAGTATTGCAACTTAAATTTCATAGCAAGGATGTTTGCTTTGATATAGTTTAAGAAAAGCTTACCACCTCCTTGTTAAATAATGTTCAAAAAATGTTCATATTAATTTGGTTTGGTACAACGTACCTTTGTGAGTTAGGGTTCTCAGTATAAGCTTCAATAAAAACTAAAAATCGTAACCGGCTAGACGTTTAAGACAATGCGTCTTACGTTGTCTAAGACAATTCCTCAATTTAGTCTGCTTGTAAGACAATTCCTCAAACAAGTGTGTTGGAAAGATACAACAACAACCATCTCATTAAACAACTGTCATGCGCCAAATTTTAGTTAATACTAAAAAATACTAATAGTAAAAAAGGCGTTTTTTTCAATACTTTCCGTTTTTCCTATAAATTGACAATTAAGTTAGGAAGAGTCCGTCAGATTGCTAAAATTTTAAAATTGGTCCATGACTACAAAAAAATTAAAAACCACTGTTCTAAAGGGAATTGAAAAGTTTGTCTGCGATGTCTGTTGTCAAAATTATGCTGACAGTTTGGTCTTTGTAGCAAATGTGAGAAAATCTTTCTTAAATTAAAACATATCCATATTTAGTAATCATGTGTGTATGTATGCGTATAATTCAACTATTGATACAAAAATATAAATACCAATAACTGAAAAGCGCAGAAATACATATTTTCTACAGTTTAATATCATTTTCTGAATTTCTATCATTGATTAGAGCAAGTTCTAATCAATGATGATTTCAATATATTTTTTTAATTTTTGATGTTATTTAAAATTTATGTTGGTTAATTAAAAAAAACACATAAAAACTTATAAAAATGACTTATAAAAAAAGAAACTTTCAACAAACTTGAATAAATTTAATTTAACTAATAAAACATTTTTATTAAAACTTATTAAGGGGCTGTCCATAAATTACGTCAACAAAATAGGGGGAGGGAGGGATTCAAATATTTTTGACATTTGTTGAAAGGGAGAGGTCAAAACAAGTTGACGTAAACAATGTTACTTTTTAAATAAATTTAGTTACTTAAAAAAAGGAAAATTAAGCAGCTTCTGCAGTCCTGTGTTACATGCTCGCTAAACCTTCAATATTTTAATAAAGCTATTTTATATTCCTACTCTTTAAAAACCGTGTTGTGCTTTAAGAAGTTCCAACGCGAACTAAATAAGCACACACGAGATGTTTACTTGTAACACTATTATTTTTCAAAGTTATTGTTGGTTAGTCTGCTATGCAAACAAAAAAGATTTATGTTAGTACTTGATCTTCATTATATTATTTAAACATTTATACCAGGGGTCGGCAACCTGCGGTTGATGCGGCTCATTAGCTCTTTGCACTAATATTAATATACTATTGAAATAAAGATTTGGCAGATGATTTGAAATGAAGATGTTGGTAGTAAATATTATATTAATTTTGTACATGGACCTAAAGCGCATCTTGACATCGAATGAACCACATAAGGCTTGAAAGCCACAGATTGCCGACCCCTATACTATAAACGTTTAAATAATGTAGACCATGTACTTACATAAATCTTTTTTGTTTGCACAGCAAATTAAAACTTTATAAACTTCAACTTTTGGCTCTTCTGTCTCAATAGGTTGCCGACTCCTGGATTATACAATTTATTAAATGCATTTTTCGTTATAATCAACTCTATTTGAAATAATTGGCTTTTACTTTGAAATTGAATAAGGTCTAACGTTAAAGTGAGGATAATTGGCACATGTTGGCACATAATGAAGTGTTGCATAAAAATTTTTTTTCTATACCTTTTACTTTTATTTATTTTTTGTACAGAGCAAGCATTTATATTTTTAAATAGTTCGCTGAAAAAAAAATTTTTTTTTTTGGAGGGGGAGAGGTAACTGAATGTGACGTAATTTTTTAGAGGGGTCTCAGGAAGTTTGACAAGCTGTTGACAAGTTGTTGACAAAAGCATTATTTTCTCCTCAATGTTATCTCAAAATAAAATAAACTCAACAACCGACTGAGATGCGACAACTATCACTGAGACGTGATGTATACTATTCATCGCTTCGATGGTTACTAAAATTGTGTTAACAAATTTTTAATTAAAATATTTAAAGCAACACAAAGAATTGAAAAAAAAATAGAGCTCGTTTTTAAACAATAATTCAATTTTAAAATACTACAAGTATCTAAAATATATATTTACAGAAAAGAACATCAAAACATATACTTCATAGGTTCAGTCATTGTTACGACATTTCAATGTTATCTGGATCGTTAATGATTCCTTTATCGGATCTCGACCTTTTGTATAAATATACTGAGACACCCACAATAACGCTTACTATTATAATGATCCCTATACTAAAAGCTGCTTTCTGAGCAGGTGTCCATCCACTTGTTTTGTCTGATTTACCAAGATCTTATAAAATATTAACAAATGAACATTAAAAAATATAACTAAATAAAACATTAATATATATAATAAATAAAACATTATATATATATATATATATATATATATATATATATATATATATATATATATATATATATATATATATATATATATATATATATATATATATATATATATATATATATATATATATATATATGTTTACCACTCTAAAATAACGGTTGTATTAAATAATTATTGAAAATATGGAACAACTTTTTTAAACTACTCGATGAAAAACATACCTACATCAACAAAGAAAATATACCTAATATACTTAACAGAAAAAGTTGAATCATTAATAAAGAGAATGAGATCGAAGGCTCTGTTTTATGATAAAAAGTTTAAACAAGAAACTATTTACCATTTCGATCTAAAATCAGGAAAATGACCACCACAGTCTCCTAAACAAGTAGTTTTGTTTTAAAAACGAATTACTCAAAACGAAAAAAAAATGACTTTCAGTGCAACTAAATAGTGATATAAGCAAGATCAAATCTTCTAAATGTTTGTAGTTGTAGTTAAGTCTAAAAGTATCTTTGAACTTAAAAAGGCATCTTATAATAAACACAACGAATAAGTAACATATAAAAAATTTGATGAAAAGTAATATGATACTATTAATTTTGAAGCAAAAACAATATCAAAAGATTTAGGCATCGACGACAGAATAAATTGCATTGCCATTAGTTCAGCATTTATAACCATTAAAGAACGCAAGCAAGATTTTTCCAATAACACAAACAGTTAATCCATCCAAACTGGAAGTGGGAAAAGTAAAATTTATCTTTAAAACATTAATAATATAGTGAGAAAAGTCACATTTGTAAATCAGCAGCATAATACAGACAACGTGATAAAATGGTTTAGTAGTATTCATGACAAAAAAATTGTACTTTTATTCAATTTGACAATAACAAGTTTTACCCATTAATTTTAGGCTCAGCAGTAGACAAAAATATCAGATAAAACACTTAGCGTTATAAATCACTCTAGAAAGTCCTTGCTTTTACTGATCACAACAATATATGAGTTAAGAAATTTGGAAGTTTTGAAAGAGCCAAGAATTATTATACCATAAGCAGCATATATGGATTGCAATCCAATAGACTATATAAACCATAAGCTTGTTTTCATAAAGTTAATGGACCAGATTCCAAAAAAATATAGAAAAATCTTTTCAACATTTTTATGGATAAATTCAATCTAAAATTAACAGTAAAAACAAACTTAAAGATTGTAATTTTTTTAGTTACGTTTAATTTATTGGATGTTCCTTCCGACCATACAGAAAACCAAATGACCACCTTCTGTACAGTAACATTAGTTCTAACCACCCTCCTAATATTATCAAATCCATACCAACCATGTTATCGAAACATATTAGCAGTATTTCATTAAACAAAGGCGTTTTTAACAAATCCTCACCTTTCAGTGTTCAGTAGTAAAATATGATCAAAGAAAAGTTGAAGAGAACAAAAAGTTGAAGAAGTTGCATCAGAACACAGCAAGAGTATTGCATCAGAAATATCAACATCACAAGAATTATTATAGCAGTAAACAACTGAGTTTTGTTTGAGCTAAAATTCACCAGCTGCTTAGCCAATCTAATGCACAATAGAACGTTTTTGTTATTATGATTAACAAACAAGCAGAACTAAAATCTGTAACTGATGTAATTAGTAAATTGTTTATTAGAAGTTCTAATATCTAATAAAACTAATCAACAGTAAAACTAAAAAATAATTATTCTGAAAAGGAGAAAATGTATTTTACCAATACTTTAATGCAGATTGGTAACCAAAGTTAAATTTAAAGAATGAAAAATCAAAAAAAAAAAAAACACTCAGATATCAAGTTTATCAATTTGGGTAGTAAAGTTGATATCATGACAACTTTAAAATTTTATCTTTTAAATGACATATGAAATTTCAACAATCCTGAGACTGCAACATAAATGAAATTAAACTGCAACTCACCTTTATTTGCTGTTTTGAAAGTACCTGCTACAAACTTTCCCAAACGATTTTGAGAATAATACACATAAATATAATATTGATAAACGGTTGAAGGTTTTAAATTGGTAAGATTTACAAAAAGCTGTGATAACAAAGTGGAATTCACACAAGTGATATTTGTGGAATTCTCACAATATACTACAAGATATTGGAAACTGAATGCGTTTACTCCACCTAAAGTTTGTGGATGTGACCAAGATATATTAACTGCACTGCTTTCAAAAAACATTATTGGTACAACAGTAGAATTAAAATCACTGATAATTGGTTCTAAAAAAAAATTTCAAAATCTTTAGAAAATAGAAATATAAAAAGAATCTTTCTGCTAAAAATAATTTATAACTCGAACATATGTTATATTATAACATTTATAATATATATATATATATATATATATATATATATATATATATATATATATATATATATATATATATATATATATATATATATATATATATGTATATATATATATATATATATATATATATATATATATATATATATATATATAACATATATGACATATAACATATATATATATATATATAACATTTATAAATTTTCACTGGAAATTCCTTAGTTTTTATATAAAACTAACTCTAACCTGCTGTTTTGAACGTGCTTGTGATAAGTTTTCCCAAAGATATTCCAGAATAAAAAACATAAACAGAATACTGATAAAAAGCAGATGCTTTCAAATTGTTAAGATTTAAAGATAGCTGTGGTGACAAAGTTGAATTCACACAGGTAATGTTGGTGGAATTTAGCTCACAATATGATACAAGGTATTGAAAAGTTGATGGATCTACTCCACTTACAGTCTTTGGAAGTAACCAGGATATATTCACTGCAGTGCTTTCAAAGTACATAACTGGCATAACAGATGCATTGAAAACACCGACAATTGGTCCTGAAAAACAAGAACAAGATATAGATTTTTATTAATCGGTTTAATCCAGCGTAACTAACTTGTTATAGAAATTTACATGTTTTTTCTTAATGATAATTCACATGAAAATTTCAACAGTTCACCCTTACCTTTAGGAAGCCCTTACCTGCTGTTTTAAATGTACTTGTAGCATATTTTCCCAAAAAGATTTGAGAATAAAAAACATAAATAGAATATTGATAAACAGTTGATGATTTCAAATTAGTAAGGTTTGCAGACAGCTGCGATGACAAAGTTGAATTAACGCAGTTTGTAAAATTTAGCTCACAATAAGATACAAGGTATTGAAAGGTAGATGGATCTTCTCCACCTATTGCTTGTGTTAACCAAGATACTTTTACAGCACTGCTTTCAAAGTTAACAACTGGTTCAACAGTAGCATTGAATACATCAACAATAGGTCCTAAAAAAATAAAAAAATAGGTTCTAAAATGTAAAAAAGTTAAATATTAAAATATAAAATTGTAAAAAACAAAAAAATATTTTAAATTTTTGCTTCAAACTTCACAAATTCACAAACTATCAAAGTTTTGTATTTCTACACAAAAAAGTATATACATAAAATGAAAGAAATGTACAAAAAATGAAAGTCTACAAAAAAAAAAAAAAAAAATGGTTGTCAAAAAAGCTATATTAGGACTTATTTCATATTTTTAATAGACTGTAGGACTTTAACTTTCAATACAAGTGAGCTCATAAAAATTTAATCATAAGTGGGGTCTTTGTCTAACAAAAATAATATTTAATAAACTAAATAAAAAATCATTTTTGTTAAAAAAGGTTGTTGCAAAAGTTGACCAAGAATCAGAACATCACAAAAAAAGAGTTAAAATAAAATTAAAGCATTTAACACTTCTACTAGTTTCTCCATATGAATTAAAAAGTATGAAAATGTTTCATAAAGTTACATGAAGTTTTTAATTTTAGAATTTACTTTTTTTAACTTTAAAACTCAAAAATTTCAAGTAACTGGACAAGTATTACTGTTATCAGAAATTTAAAATTTTGATTTAAAAATGATTTAAGATCGTCTAAGAAGATAAATAAATCATGTTCAATTATACACTTTTTATCTCAATATCTCAATATTGACACCATTTCATCACACCATTATAACCTGTAAGATCTGAAAAAAGTACCATAATAATGTTAACTTATTTATACTACTTTTGTTTATACTATTTTGATAAAACTTTCATTCTTTAGGAACTCAGCTTCCAATGGGTATGAATATTTTCAACACTTTAAATATTGTCAATCAAATTTGCCAAATAGAATTACAAAAAAGTTGGATATTTATATTATATTGCTCTCCAAAGTCAAACATAAAAGTCGATAGATGTCAATAAGCTAAATGTGAATGTATCATGGTTAAAATAAAACATGTTTAAAGCAGGATTTTCAGTTGTTAGTGGTGTAAATATTAAAAAAATTTAAATCTTAAAAAAAATTCTAAAAAAATTCTGAAAAATTCCAAAAAAAAACTCAAAACAAAATTTGAAAAATCAAATTTAATTTGAAAATTTGCTTAAACATTTTTTTTTTGGATATAAATTCCAGAATTAAAAGATTTTATCTGAAGTGACAAGCTCAAACCTGATAAAATTAAACTCGAAGACCTTGAATTCTTAGATCAAGATGGTCCATGAAATTATCATTTGGGTCCTCTAGACACTAAATATACTAAAGTAATCTGCTTTTATTTGTGCCCATCAGAGCCGAGGTTGGGTATTAAAGAAAAATTCAATCTACACAAAATCAAAGTAACCCACCAAATTTGGCGGTATTTGTTGACAAGTATTTATAGTTTATGTTTGCAATAAATGGCTTTACAGAAGAGAGAATTCTCAATTGGCTATCACTTCCTCCATCCTATTGGTACACTCAATCATACTTCAACCAATTTTTAGCTTATGCAAAAAACATTGATTGTTGTGAACAATTACGCAGAAAAAAAAGTGAGTATGATGCAGGAGTTTATCCACAGATACATTAATGAAGAAGAAAAACATATATAAAAAACATATGAATTTTATAAAAGTAGACAAAGTTCTTTATGCCATAAGAGAACCTGGAAAATGCTCTGGTAAAATGACATAAAGAAACATAGAAATTAATTTACAGAAGATAATCAATTTTAAGAAATACAAAAACGTCTTAGTTTTGTATCTTTCATAATCTTAAGCTACCTGAAAAACTCAGTTTTGATTTCATTTAATAAAAATAACTTTAAACATCTTAGTCAATTTTGAAAAAGCTAAAGAAGGGGGTGTAACAGAAGTGACTGTGAGGAGAGAGGGGGTATAGATTCTAACTTCACCTTCAAGTACATAAATGATAAAATTAACAAAAAAGTTGGCAAATTTTTAACCATGAAATATTTTTAATTGTACAGAAAAAATCTCAGATATATTTATATTCCAAAATATTTTTCAGCAATGGTATCAATCTTGTTTAGATTGTTGAATGGCACATTGATGGTTATTTCAAGTTTCTCAAAAACTTTCCTGTCAAATTTTTTAGTATTAATTTTTAGAGTTCTGCAACTTTCCCAGTAAACTTGCAACACGCAATGTCTCTTGCATGAGGCTAATGCAGACTGTTTAATTTATTTTCTGTTGTACGGTATTTGTGTTATTGTATGCATTTTTTTGTCTGTATTTTTGTTTCAATATAAACTTTTTGTTTCATTAACATTAAATAAGGTAGACTCTTGAGTCTTCATTGGTAGTTCAGATTTATTTCTTGATGGTAATTTTGTCTACAGTTTGAAGTTTGCTTTAAAGACTGTTTTATGTACTGTTTTATGCTTTCCTAAACATATTACACAATTTACAGACAATATTGGTACACAAGTTAATGAAATAGTTGGATACATACTGGTGATACTTTTAATGTTTTTAACAGTTACTAGTTACTTTTTTTTCTTTTCTTTTACTTCTGTTATGATTTTTATGAGGTGAGATTGTTTGTAGCCATTTTCAACAAAGACTTGAATACGAAATCTCAGTTCATTTTGCAATATATTTTTGAGTGTATAAATTAAATGGTCATGCATTTATTGATGTCTTGTTAATATATATATATATATATATATATATATATATATATATATATATATATATATATATATATATATATATATATATATATATATATATATATATATATATATATATATACATACATATACACACTTTAATTTTTATAAAATCAGCTGTACAGCACCAATTTAAAAAACCAAAACTAAAACCAAACCATGTCAGACCCTGACACTTATTAAAAGAACTTACCATATAAATCTGAACTCTGCAACATAGCACCATAAGAGCTGCTGTAAGGACCATCCCCTGACGGATTAATTGCTTTTCCTTTAAAATAGTAAAACACACCAGGAGACAACCCTGTAAAGTTAACACTCAATGTTTCAACTGAAGGTTGCAAATTTCTTGCATCAACAACTTTGACAACTCGAGTATTAATGTTAACAAATGAATAATACTGTATTCTCTGAACAGGGTCTTTAATTACTGAGAAAACAATGCCAATTGTATTTGAATCAAAAATAAAGGAGCCCTTAACTTCTGGTGCAGACTTAGGTAAAGCTAAAAAAGTATTAAAGCTATATATATATATATATATATATATATATATATATATATATATATATATATATATATATATATATATATATATATATATATATATATATATATATATATATATTATATACAAATACTTATATATTATATATGTGTATATATATATATATATATATATATATATATATATCCTTATGTATTTAAAATCAACAATTAAGCAACATTTCATATCAACAATTAAGCAACACTTTACAATAATGAGGAAGTACATTAAGTTTTATCATTTTTTAAAAAACCACAATATTAATGACTAGAAAAATTTTTTTAAATAATAGTGTTTTTGTTTTTTTATTGTTTTACAATATTTTTCAAACATGCAAGGAGTGTTGCTACATTAACTATCTTAAAGTATATCAACTATCTCAAAGTAAAAACAGTTACTATGCTACTTGTACATTTAAATTTAAACTTTTTTAAATTTAATTTAAATTAAACATATTTAAATTTAAAGTTGCATTAAATGCAAGTAAAGTTTAAATTGTATAAATTTAACAATTGCAACTTAAGTTAATTGTTAAATTAAAATTAAATTAAATTAATTGTATTTGCCAAAAAAAAGTATCTACAGTACTAGAACTTCTCATCACCACCATATATATATATATATATATATATATATATATATATATATATATATATATATATATATATATATATATATATATATATATATATATATATATATATATATATATATATATATATATATATATATATATATATATATATATATATATATATATATATATATATATATATATATATATATATATATATATATATATATATATATATATATATATATATATATATATATATATATATATATATATATACTTAAGCTGCTTTAAACCTTTTAAAAGTTTTATGAGATATTATTTAAATATAAGAAATATTGCGTTAAAAAAATAACAAAATTATGTTGGTATTGTTTGGTACCGATAGTATCAAAAGTTATTGATTATGTTGGTATTGTTTGGTACCATTTGGTTTTGCAACTTGGGTAATCATGAGAATTTGCATTCTATTTTTATAAACAATTAGTAATTTGAAATAGTAAATTCATATAATAAATGAGATGTATATAACTAACTCGTATAGTATAAAAGAAATTCTTAAAGATGGTTGTGTCACATCTTATTTATCATTTAATTTCTCGTCTGGTATCTTTGTTTTAATTTAAATAATTGTGTGGTTTCTCATCTGTTATTGTTATTACAATTTTTTCTATAGTAATTAAAAAAAAAAAAAATTGTTTAATATTTATTTTTATAATAAATTATTCCAAATAATCAAATTATGTTAAACAGTGAGTAAGGGGTAGACACAAAAGAAAGTAGGGTGATACTCGGAGTAACTACCTATACTATCCCTACCTAAGAAATGTCAAACTTCAAAATATTATTGATAAAATTAAAAAAATAAGGAAACATACCAAAAATTGTACTGCAACATTTTATTATTTTTCTCAACAAATAAAAAAGTAATTATATAACCATTTGGTATATTTATTAGCAAACTTCTAACCTTTCTAAAATCATTCTAAGTTTTTATTTATTTTATATATTTGTTTAAACATCTTCCCTTCCAACAAGGCTGCAAGCAACCACTAATTGGAGTTGGAAGTTACTGGAAGAGAAAAGATGAAGATTGTAGAGGAAGATAACGATTGTCAGATAACTTAAAAGATTGCGAACTATATTAATCAGGAAAGCAAGATGAAGGAAGCAAATTCTAAAGAACTGATGTTTGAGGAAAAAAACTAGAGTTTTTGGAGCACTTAGGAACAGTCACAGAAAAAGGATGAGACTTAATTAAATGACAAGTAACACGAGAATGAATTTTAGTAGATGGCACAAATGACGCTAGCTCTTTAGAACAGTGCCCATTATAATATTTGTAGAAAAGAGAAAGAGAAGCAACATTATGACGATGTGATAATGGTTGAAAGTTGGCTGCAAGAGCAGGTCTAACTGTGTTTAAAATGCATTTTTGCACCTTGTCTAAAAGAGAAAGGGCATCATTAGAAGATCCGCCCCAGATATGGCAACAGTATTCCATACATGTCCGGATTTGAGATTTATAGAGATTGAGAATTAGGAATCAGGAATCAGGAGTAGGAAAGTGCCGAGCTCGATAGAGAGATTTTTGCAATTGATTTGGTTTATTATGGTTTCCAAGAAAGATCAGAAGTAAGAGTTAATCCTAGAAGATGAAGGGTAGATGACTCATTGAGTACATTACTGTTCATAAATATAGGAAGGTCTTAATTATTACAATAACAATTGGTTGAAAAAAATTTTCAACCAATCGTTGAAAATTTTAAAGCGTTTTATCTGAATTAAAGTTCACCAGCCATTGTAAGCCCTATGCTGTAGCAGAAGTGAGACCCTTTTCAAGCTCAAATGCCTCCTCTAAGCAATCAGAGAGTGTTGGCTTCTGATCATGACAAGAATAAATGGTAGTATCATCAGCCAACTATGTCACCTTAGATGTGAGAATATCTGGAAGATCATTAATGTAAATTAAAAAGAGTATAGGGCCAAGGATTGAACCTTGAGGAACCCCTGAGGTTACAAAATAAGAAGAGGAGTCCTGTCGATCAAGGACAACACTCAAATAATCAAATGAAACAGTTATTTTATTTAAAAAAAAACACAGACCTCATTTTTTTTTTTTTTTTGGTAGGACTACCCCTCTAGAACAATGACCTGGATCTGCTTCTGCAGTTTCTCATATCCTTAATTGCTTCTGATGCATTTAAGGATATGAAAAACAGCGTGTGATGCAATTGGTAATGATTATTTTAAATGAGTATTAGAAATGATTGTTCATTGGGAACTAGTTTTTTAACTGTCATTAAAGAGAGTTTTTCATATAACTCCAAAGTTATATGAAACTAATTATTTTCATATAACTCCAAACTCTCCAAAGGGAATTGCTTGTGATGTAATTGTTAATGATTATATATTATATTATACTAAACAAGTATTAAATATATTGTTCATAAATAATTGATTTTGTAACAGTCATTACAGTTATTTTAATTTAATTAATTGTGTATTATCGCATCCATATTTTTAAAATTAAATCTCTCGTGGTTTAGTAATTCTTGCCTGGTCTTTTGTTCTGTGTTAAACATTCAACAACTAAACTTTAGTTTTAAACAATTAAACACAAGTATACTTTAGTTACTAAAATAAACCAATCTTCATTTATTACTTACAACATCTTAAATCTGGGATTATTTCAAGAAAAATACTACTTACTAAGCATTGTTTATACTTAATCTGAAAAGGTAATTGCTGGCAGTGACGGGAAATAGTCCAGAGAATAATAATCAGCATGATTGTTTATATATATAATAACTAAACCCGCTAACACAGAAATTTGCTTGGTCAAGTGGATAAAGTTATGGCTAAGGAATTTGGAGCTCTAGGTTCAAGTCTTTCCAAAGAACTTATTTTTTTTTTAATTGTTTGTAATTAAAAATGCAGTTTTCTTTTTTTATGTTTTTACATTACAGGGTGGCCACACTTTTTTTGAGTTCAAAAATTAGAGAAATTTAGGAGATTTTTGAAGGGCTTTTTAGGAGATTTTACTGGGAAACTTGGAAAAATGAATAAAAATATTAGAATTATTAAGGAGAATTAAAAAAATTTTTTTTTACAAAATTTAAATATTATTCAAAAATTTTAATAAAAAATTTGAAAGTTTGAGTTGAATGTTTGTAAGAAAACTTAAAGTTCAAAAAAAAGTTTAAATTATGAGATTTTAGAAGGTATTTTTAAAATTCAAGTAAATTTTAGGAGAGTTTAGGTCTTTTTAGGAGGTTTTTTAATTATTATGATATTTTAGGATTTATTAGGAGGCGTGGCCACCCTGCATTGTAACTACTATTGTTTATTAACTATTAAGATTTAAAAAAATTAAATTTGATTGGTGAAGCAATAATAAATAAATTGACTGACTTTTAGGGAGTACACGCAAGGCACAGAGTGCTAAAATGACCGCCGAGTGACAGAGTGCTAAAATGGCCGCCAGGGTTTATGTCTGCTCACTCTGAATTTTTTTTGTTTCAGATACAGATACCTACTAATTGTAAAAAAAATAATTTTAAATTCACATCTATCAAGGGGTCTTTTTTTGGTAATAATATTTCTGAAACTATTTAACTCCTTTGATATTTTTTAGATGTAAATACCCCTAAAATTTAATTTTATCCTCAATTTTATCCCCAAGTGAGTTCAAAGCTTCTTGGCTCTTTATTGCTTTTAATAAAAATAAAATAAAAATTATAATAAAAAAATGAACCTTTTTTATATTATTTATTATTCAACTGTATTATACATTTTCAGGAGAATCTGCGGTGTGTAAAACTTATGGAAATAAGCTTGCCACAAAGCAAGGAAATACTACTGGCTTGCGAAAGCATATTCAAACACAACACAGGAAGTTGAACAGGAAGTTGAACAGGAAGTTGAACTTCAAAAGAAAGAAGATAAGAGGAGATCTCAAGTAGAACATAATTGAGACAGGTCTTTCTGGATCTGTAAAAGATAAAGCCTACAAAACTCTCACCCAAAGGAGGCGGTTACAAAAAAGTGTTACAAAAAAGTTCAAGATCGGCGCCAATTGTTAGTTATTCATGACATCATTACTTTGATTGCTACTGAGTGCTTGCCAGTAAGTTTTGCAGATTCTGAAAAATTTAGGAGGTTTATGAACAAAATATTATCAACTGCCACAATAAAACTCCCACAGCTTTACCATACGTTAAAGTAGTGCATAAAGTTATGGAAAAAGAGCTTATAGATCTTAATCAGGTTGCCATAACCACCGATAACTGGACATCAAGGGTAAATGAGTTATAGATGTCCGTTACATTACATTATATCTTGCTAGACTTTGCCCTAAAAAAATTTCTATTAGAAGTGTGCATG